GTTTGCAACCTCAGGAAGATCAAGAGATGTTGACATTACAATTCGTTGGGGCAAATGCCCACCTCCATGTCTTGCAGTTAGGCGTGGATCTACATATACAAGTCGAATTGAAACAGGATTTAAATATTTCAGCATCAAATCATAAAATTAACGATCATTAAAGATTTATACCATCTCGTCGCACAGTATTTCCACCGACTATAACAGCATCACATCTGCCCCGCATTTCAAAAACTCGGGTTCTCGAAATTTTGCTGCTTATCCATGATGCATGTCCACTACTTGCCGCAATTTTGCCTGCAATTTTACACATGCAGTAATAAAGAAATGCCATCAGTTAAGTTCATTTGATGCCTTTGGGCTAAAGAAACCAAGTTTTTATAGGACATCGATCACCAGAACAAAAACCACCATGTACTAACCATCAAGGGTCATAGCATATTTGAGAACAGAGAATGGAACTCGACAAGCAGCTCTATACAGTAAAGGAGCATTCACAAGAAGACAGGACTTCAGACCTTCCTATGAGAAAACGTAAAACAGTCCAATCAGTACTTGGAAACAGCATGACTGTTTTTTTAATTCTGTAATATGAATCAAAATATAAGTATGCTCCATGCCGCTTTTGCATTAAAGTTACTAATCGCTAAAAAAAACTAAATATGTACTTTAGTCCTACTAAAAGGCAGTTCATCTAGAGCAACGTCATAGTTGTAGTAGCCATGTGTCAATCATACGCCAATTAAACTGAATGGATTTATATATATTAGAAAAAGGATTTAATAAGGTTTATGTTTCCTGCAACTTTAAGAGGTATATAAGTTTCTATATCATACGTGATTATACAGATACACTGACTACCTCAATTATCTGACTACAACAATTAAAGGACAACGCCGTTGTTTGGGTCGCTTATGTGGTCACGGATCTATTCAAATGCACTTGTCAATTGTCTAAATATAGGAAATCAGCTGATCACAAGAAGCAAAATAAAGCAAGAAGATAATTTCATCGGCACTATTTGTTCAAACACATAACTATCTTATACTAAATTACGAGGGATGTTCATGTATTTTAAGAAGAACGACACATTGACAAAAGAAACAAGAAAAAAGAAAACATGTTCAGAATTCATTACCTCTATACTTTTACATTGGATATCTTCACCAAGAACATCAACCAGGACTCCTTCACCTCGAAGGGCACGGACTGCTTTGCCCCGAAGATGTTGCAAAGGATGCCTTATCCCAATGACAACTCTAGAGATCCCTGCCTAAATTGCATCAACACTAAAGAAAGTTTACATCAAGGACAAGAACAAAATTTTCGTATTCTAAAATGCAAAGTATTACCTGTTCATATCATATAAAAATGGTTGGAAAAGTTGCATTTTTAATAGGGGTCAGAAGGGGATAATCTCTGAGAAAGACAAGTCCCATTCCTTGATTAGGGTCCAAACACATTTTGGTTTCTCTACACCTATCGATAAAACCACCCGACATATAATTACGCATGATGCCCTACATCCAATTCTATATTTTAACAACAAAAGAATCCCTACTTATAACCCCTTAACCTTGTTAAGTCCACCAGGTAAATAATCAGTCAAATACAACCATTATTGAAATTGAACTCTTCAAACCCCGTGAATACAGCTCACAATCTTTTATCAAAAAATTTACGGATTTTGCGAAATATAGCTCACATTCTTTTATCACCAAATTTACAAATATAGCTCACATTCTTTTATCACAAAATATATCACGAATATGGTGAAAGTTTCCTTGGACTCTACATATCGTGAAAATGTACGGATTTTAAGGTGGTGCCTTAAAAAAATCCATTCACTAGGGAGAAAATACGAAAGCTCATTACATTACAATTGACTGTAGGTACAGACTGCGCAGAGGCGTCGGCTATCGGGTGATAATACGCATACGCCCACCCATTCAGATTTTCTCTGTCCAGCTTGGAAAAATGTTTGGAAAGGACAAATTTTCTATGAAGTGTTCAAATAATTAGGCACCAGATATACAAAAGATTATCTTTTTATAATCTAGAGGGGTCGATGACTTTTTACCGGAAGTTTCCAATACTCAACAGGCAAGAAAGGTATGAGAAAAGAATCATTCATATGGAAGAAAAATCCTCGAAAAAAATAGAATCCCACACAAGAAGTTCTTTTCAGGGTTTATATAGATGCTTGTATCAACCACTCAAAAGCTGGCCTACAGTATTGGTGATACAGCGCGTAATAGTATGGGGCAACCTCTAGTTGTTTTCAGAGAGAAACTTGAACCTCATCATAATTCTCTACTTATTTGTGAACTTAAAACAACTAAGGAAAGTTGATTCATTTGAGTGAAATTGGACATTCTCAGGTCACTCTTCTTTAGACTCTATTGTACTAGTGCAAGCAATTGCAGACATTGAAGAGTACTGGGATGGGTCTGGACTAGTTGCAGCTGAAATATCAAATTTAATGAATTCTTTCAAAGAGGTGGACGTGATTTTCAACAATAGATAAGCTAACATAATGCCCGTGAAATTCCATCCCTCTGTTTAGTCTCCTGAGCAGTTTGTCTGGTTTGATAGAGGATTTCAACGTTAAACGATTCTTGTCAGAATGGATACCTTCTTGAGGAATAAAACGACAAAGTTTAGCTTTAAAAGGGAAAAATAAAATGAAAAAAACAGTATGATCCAAGAAATTCACTGATTAAGCAACTTAGAATTTCCTTGATTATATAAACAGTTCAAACTGATTGTCTAGCATCAGAAAGATTCAATAGTCGGATCATTGTCCCAGTACTATACAATTTCTTCTATCGAAATTTGCATTTGACACAACAATGGAACCCCTGTCAAATCAATTTGTTGCAAATTTGAACTGAGACTGAAGCAAGTGAAATTGAAGCAAAACATTTACAGTAATAAGAAAGGAAATGAGCATAAATACAACAATTAAAAACTGCAATAAATGGGAACCAAAATTACCTGGACCAGAGCAGAGACTGCAGCTTGGTCCCCACGGCAGTGATTGGGTTCCATATTGAGATAAGCGGTGGCGCCACGGCAGCTTTCTCCGGCGGCCTCAACTGCCTGCAGCTCTGCAGGAGATGTTCCTTGCGCATACAGATATCCCTCGCCCACAACCACCCTTCCTCCGCTACCTGAGGTGGTAGCTATGACACAACCAAAGTTGGGGTGGGGAGCCGTGAACCCTGCAGATTTATCCGCTAACTCGGCGGCGCGTTCGATATACGCGGTGTCAAAGGCGAGTGATGTTGGAGATGGGAAAGAGGACGAATTCAGAGTCGCTCTGCAGGTAAAGGAGGAAGAAACGAGACTAGAAGCTGCTAATGCGAAAACCATAATGGGCGATGACTCTTATCCAGTCAATACTCCTTGGCATCGATAAGGAGGGTGATGAACTTGATTAAATGCTTTCCCTTGTGGACTCATCTGCTCGTTAACAAGGTAATTTTTAACTAATCACTTTTTTTAACTCATAACTAACTTAATTTTAACTCAATTTCATTTTCTTCAATATTATCAATGCACTTATTTTCTTCAATATTATCAATGCACTTAAATAATATGAATCAATTATTCATATGCATCACATCTCCACTCATAAAATTTTAACTAATAATTATTTCACATCATCTCTTTCCTACTTTTACATTAAATTAACTTTAATTATTTTATTTTAAATATTATTTTAATATAAACTAAAAATTATACTAACAATTAATCATACTAAATTTTTCAAAATTAATCAAGCCAAAACTTCTTATATCCAAGCATAACTATATATCGAATTTTGCCTACTTTTACATTAAATTAACTTTAATTATTTTATTTTAAATATTATTTTAATATAAACTAAAAATTATACTAACAATTAATCATACTAAATTTTTCAAAATTAATCAAGCCAAAACTTCTTATATCCAAGCATAACTATATATCGAATTTTGCCTACTTTTACATTAAATTAACTTTAATTATTTTATTTTAAATATTATTTTAATATAAACTAAAAATTATACTAACAATTAATCATACTAAATTTTTCAAAATTAATCAAGCCAAAACTTCTTATATCCAAGCATAACTATATATCGAATTTTGCCTACTTTTACATTAAATTAACTTTAATTATTTTATTTTAAATATTATTTTAATATAAACTAAAAATTATACTAACAATTAATCATACTAAATTTTTCAAAATTAATCAAGCCAAAACTTCTTATATCCAAGCATAACTATATATCGAATTTTGCCTACTTTTACATTAAATTAACTTTAATTATTTTATTTTAAATATTATTTTAATATAAACTAAAAATTATACTAACAATTAATCATACTAAATTTTTCAAAATTAATCAAGCCAAAACTTCTTATATCCAAGCATAACTATATATCGAATTTTGCCTACTTTTACATTAAATTAACTTTAATTATTTTATTTTAAATATTATTTTAATATAAACTAAAAATTATACTAACAATTAATCATACTAAATTTTTCAAAATTAATCAAGCCAAAACTTCTTATATCCAAGCATAACTATATATCGAATTTTGCCTACTTTTACATTAAATTAACTTTAATTATTTTATTTTAAATATTATTTTAATATAAACTAAAAATTATACTAACAATTAATCATACTAAATTTTTCAAAATTAATCAAGCCAAAACTTCNCAAACAACCCGTTAAATTTACTATGAGATAATCTAACGTAAACTTCATATGCCATAGTCATACTTTTTAAGCAACCATTCATATTTCTAAAGCCAAAACATTTTTATGTGTGAGTCATAAATATTACTGAAAAGTGAAAAGTAAAAAGTATGACCCTTACACCAAATGCACACATGGGACATAAACAATAGCTTTTGTTGTAAAATAAAAATTTTGTGATATATAGTGCAAGAAAGCATAAATATATATACTACACTAATGAAAAAACTGACCAAAAAATTAAAAATTAATTTCAACATATATATAAATATTGATGTAATAGAATTCCATACCATGGAGCCTCTTGTGAAGATCTGCAGAGGCTGACATCTGAACCAGAATAGGAGTAACAATCATAAGGATGCCCCAGAAGAATAAGACCACCAAATAAATTCTTCCACTCATTGGTGACCAAAATATTTCATGGCCATTGAATTTATATTCATATTGCAGATTAGCTGGCCATGTGCTACTAACCAATCATATTATGATGTTTCAAAGGTACAGGCAAGACAGTACAGTTTGTTCTGGGAAGAATCAAATTACTTATTGCACAGCAAAATCATAATTCATTAAGGGGAAAAAAAACAAAAAGGAAAGAGAAAAACCATGTTTTTGTACCAAGCAAACCAATTTATTTGACAATATCACTTGGTGCATCTTTTTTTTTAATTGTATTTGGTTGTTGTGCCAAATGTGTTTGAGTGAGCATGACTTGGAATCCTTCTGGCATCTCTTGGCTTAAAATAGAAATGTCAACCGCAATAATCACATGAGATTCAATTGAGTGTGGACAGAGAAGTTAGTCTTCAGTGAAGTACAAAATGTTCTGAGCAGCCCTTCAAACCAGACATTTATCATGAGAAAGAAGAATTTAATCTTATTCTCACTCATCACCAAAACCTAAAAACCTATTAATAAAATTAGCCACAGGAGTAGCATCACCAGGTTCATAATCCACAAGAGAACCCAAATCCATTGAGGAAACTGTCATGTAGAGTGTCTGTGGACGAGCACAAAATAAATGCTTTCTTTCAGCTAATTCTTCAGCCAGCTCACTTTGATGATTGTCCATTAAATCCTCATTAACGACAACGATAAGAGGTTTCTTAAGCCGCAGTGTCTCGAATATGCTCCCTGAACCTAAAAGGACGGATAAAAAAATGAGGAGAAAAAGATATTAGATTAAATGTTAATGGACACCATGTATCCACGTGTGTTAATTCCAACAAGAATGATGATGCATACAAATCATATAAATATATACATACATACATAGGGTTGATTGAAAAGATCCATGGAGTTCAAGCGAATCATAACAAAACCGGTTCTCCTTAAATATTACAATGCCCTATGAAGTGTGTATTGGGTTTTCACAAAACTTTGAATGGTGTATTTGTAATTATCAAAGTTGACGAGAGTTTGGTACAAGGATCTTGATATTATCGCTGTATATAATTCCTACAATTACTGGTTGGTTAATGAAGAGAGAACGAAATCAGTTTAAACCATTTCCTTTTTTGGTTTTTTCCCTTTTCAAATATTTCCTCCCTTCTCACTGGAGTACTGATAAAATGAAGGAGAAAGGGGAAACTCTTAAGGAAGTATATTCAGTGCAAGAAAAATATAAGCTACCTGCATGACTGATTACAAGAGATGCCGACTTCAAATAATCAGCTATGCTTGATGAAAATGTAAAGGAATCCACAGAAACAGACCCGTCTCCTCCGGTAGACTGAAAGTTAACGCCACCAAATTAAGATTATAAATAAATGACAGTGAAATAAGTTGCAAGTAAGAGATTCTAGTAGCAGAAATTGTCATCCTACCATTGTTATGCTATCTTTTATCGGATAACATTTCCACCTATTTCTTTTCACCGGGTGAGCAGACTTAGTCCTTAGGTATTAACAAAAATAAAATAAAATAGACATAGCGAAATTTGGCAGGCGAAAACAGACGTTAATGCATCTCAAATAATAAAAGTTTACAAGATTTTCAGCGGCTACTAAATCTATTAACAACGTATATTAGATTACAAGGCGTGAGTAGAACTGAAGAAATACCGGTGAGATTGATCATGTGAGATTGATCATCAGGTGATTGGCACTGACACATTAAATGATATATTAAAAATGAAGAAACATGCATAAGAATGTGAGTAGTTCAGACAATCTAAGTTCAGAGTATAGAAATTCTAACAGAGCCAAGTGAATTAACAATTACAAAAACATTGCTACGGCTGATGCTAAAAATGCACATATGATCACAAAAAACTTATTGCCTCTCTTATTTCACGTCTTCATCGTCTTCAAGATCAATATTTCAAGCAAACAAGGATATGTATAGGTTTCAAATTATAGCTTTCAAAAAACTGAATTAGACACTGAAAACTCAAACAAATTTTCTAGACAATCAAATCATAATAGCTTCAAATTACCTTGGTGGGACTATAGGAACCTCGACCCATTTGAATAACAAGATCGGTATAGCCCTTCTCAAACAATGCTTTTCTAACCTCTAGCGTGTCTACTGCTCTCACCAAGGAATCAAAACAAGTTGTCCCAACAGTCACAAAAACCATCTTCTTACCAGCCTCACCCATTTCGCGTTATCCACTTTTCTGGTTCACTCTCTCCGGAAAACTAATGATGAAAAGAGGGAAAAATTCTAAGGAAATTAACAAGCTGCAAAGGAAGCCAATGGCATAAGTGAGTTAAGTACTCATTTTTCAAATTGAATATCTTTTTCAGAGTTTAGGACCAAAGCTGTTTACAAACATGAAACATCATCAGTAAGCTAGATAAAGAACTCTTATAAATTAAAAATTTGAGCCTTCACATAATATTTTACGAGCTGAAATCCAGTCCAAACAACCACAATTTTGATTAAGTTTGATACATCACTTGGGGTATCACAACAGCTTAAATTAACTGAAGATTTCAAAAGACGAACCGAAAGCAGTGAACTAACATCAAGTAATACATTTACATTCAAGTAAGGAACATAAGCAGAATTAATCTTACAGCCGGCAACCAGGGAAGATGTGTCCAGCTCAGATCCTCGGCGTTAGAGGAATAAAAGGCCGGCGTTTCTTATTTGACTTTTGGCAATTGGCAAAATGTAACAGTGAACAGCTTACAGAAGAGGATGAAAAATTAGAAGAGCCTCAAAAAGGAAAGTTGGAGATTTCTTGATTCGGTCCACCCCAAAGCTGTCCTTCGGCTCCATCAATTTCAATCTCTAGTAATCACCCGTGCGATGCACGGGGATATTATTATCTATACGCTTTTTAAAAGACAATTTTGAATATAAATTGTGTAATAATGCAATGATCATGATCATAAGAATAGACATATAAACATATAATTAAACTGAAAAGATCATATATTATTGAACACTTCCCTATATACAACATTATTGGTTTGATTATTTGGCACGTCATCTTCGCCACAAATTAAGATTTTTAAACCTTTTCGGTTAGTGACACGGGAGATAGCAACATATAATTGACAATGACGGAATACTGGTTTCTTAAGAAATAAGTCAATATGAGATAAGGATTGTCCCTGGCTCTTGTTTATAGTCATGGCGTAAGAAACCATAATGGGAAACTGTCGCCGCTGGAACTTGAAAGGAATTCTAACATCAGAAGGAGTTATGACCATTCTTGGAATCAACACATTATCACCAGCATGATCTCCTGTGAGTATCTTACACTCAAGAACGTGAGTGGATAGCTTTGTCATAACAATTGTCTCATTACAAAACCCATAGAATGATCCATGTTCCGCAACAACATGACTGGAGTTCCAATCTTCAAATACAACTTATGATTCGGTATTCCGGAATACTTGATACTATTCAAAAACTTAGGCGTATGTAGATAAGACAAAAAATAATTATTATAATCCGATTTGCATGTACTGTCAGAGCTCAAGTACATACGACCATCCAACAAATTCAATGATGTCATGTACTCATTGATAGACTCGACCACATCCAATGTCGGCGCTAATATAGCCCTATTCTTCAAATAACTTGGATCGTCGGGTGTCTCTTTATACATTGGATATGTGTTTTCAACGATCTGAGCAATAGGATCATCAGATGGCTGAAGCAAAATGTCCTCGGGTATGTCTATAGCTGCACAACAATCATTCGACCCCCGATAGTTCCATCTCCGATGTTGGCTATCCAATCTGCAAACCGTGCAAGCTCATGACGTTCATCCGAATTAGCAAGTCCCTGAAGGCGCATGTTTTTCATAAGCCTAAGCACAATACAACTTCTCCATATGTCAAAAGCATTAATGACAGCATTGACTATGTCCTGACGGCTACCATTTGGAATGACATGAAGGATTTGTCGAAAATCTACACAAAAAACAATCGGCTTCCCAGCAAACGGTTTGTTTAAGTTCAATCGATCAATGGCTCCCATAATACCCTGCAGCGATGTCTGTACAGCTTCGAAACAATGCTTGTGCATCATTGTTGCTTCATCCCATATTATTAGAGAAGCACGAATTATCAATTCCGCTAGAGGGCTTGACTGATTGATGTTGCAAGTAGATTCCTGGTGGGGATTCAATGGTATAGCAAATCGAAAATGCGTTGTTCGTCCACCTGGCAACAAAAGCGATGCTATTCCGTTGGATGCGACACATAAGACTATGTCGCCTTTGGATCTCAAACCAGCAGATAAAGTCTGTCTTCCCAGTTCCACCATAACCATATACAAAAAAGAGCCCTCCTTGGCCGGATTCAACAACGGACATAATTCTTGAGTAGACACTCCTCTGTTCGGCTGTCATTTTCTTAAGAAGCATATCGTGTTCCACAGCGAGGGCCTTTCGATCATAATTCAATTCATCAAAACTTAGACGATTCGAACTTGAATTGATGTTCTCCCTATCCGGAAATGACATAGTTGAGTATTTACGAAAACTTGACCCACGTCGTCTCAATAAATTCTCAAACTCAGCAAGGGCCAGGTTCTTGATTTGTTCTTCAGTGAGCATCAAACCTATAAACCAATTATTTGTCACAACCAATCGATGCATTTAAATTTTGAAAAGTTGCATNC